AATAGTTGCTGTGCTCGTTAGGCCTGGCATTACTGAGCAGCCGTGTTTCTTCTAATAAATAGTTAACTTCACTTACTCTGTGTGATTTATTGCTGGCTGGTTCCCTGACACACAGCAACTTTTTTGTTGCAGATACCACTTGTTAATAATAATTTCCATTAGAAAGCAGGCTAGCTGATAACAACCAATGTCTTCTCAATGGTAAGTCCTATTGAATTAAAGGTGACTTACTCCCAGGTAAGTGGGGTTAGGATCCCAACATTCCATCCCCTCCTCCCGATTTTCAAGCAGCAAGGCATCAGAAGTATTTTTTTCCACATATTAATACATCTGTTGCAATGGCAGTTTCAAGTAGGCGTAACCATATTATAACTTCTCTTGAAGCTTCACATGCCATTAGGAGCCAGCTTGCACAGTTTTGAATATATCCGCCTGCCTTCATCTCAACAAACTTCTTCTACTATAAATGACAATTACCATTAGCTGAATTGCAAGGAGACGTTACTGCATATTATTAAGATGGTTCTGTTTCTTCTCTGACTATGAAATCCATGTTAATTGTAGCCTCCAGTTATAAAATGGCAATTAAAATAATAGAACATCAGGAGAATGTTTGTGAGCATGAAAAGATTTATTATCTTATGTTTTCAACCAGTTGTAAGAGTCCCTTGGGGAAACCAACTATAATTATGGATAGTTTTGAAATATTAAAAGGCACTCTCCCAGAAACATGGCTCAGTTTTTGGATCACAACTGAAGCAGTAGGGATGGGATGAATTGGCTTAGCTCAAGTTTTTCATGGGGAACCTCATGAACTCAGAAAGCTGTAGAGCAGCCTTCTGCAACCTGGTATCTTCCAAATATTGTTGGTCTACAGTTCTCATCAGCTCCAGTCAGCTGTTATCTTTTTCTCTCTCTCATACAGTTTAGAGAGAAAGCTGTAAAAATCATGTCCCCCGCCCCCATTTCTTTTCTATCAGCTCTATGTGATTTTCAAGACTCAGATTCATTCTACTGTATCTGACTTTTACTCAGTTCCCTTGGGAAAGGGATGTATATGTGCATGTGTGGCGCTGTGGTCTAAACCACTGAGCCTCTTTTTTTTTTTTTTTAAATGATATTTATTAAAATTTCAGAAAGGGTTACAAAAAAAAGAAAGAAAAAAAAAGAAAACAAAGAAAGAATACAAAATACAAAAAAAAACATTTAAAAACAAATCAATCTTTCCATGTCTTATCTTTCGTTTACTTGTTTCCCTGACCTCCTCGCACCTCCCTTTTTTGTATTCCAGTTCAGTTAGTTAATTCAGTAAATCCTTTCCCTCTTTGTTTTTATCTTAATCCTTTAACTTAATATATCATAGCTTTAGATTCTCACCTGTTAACAATCCATTTTTACATACTCCTTTGTAACATTGCTGCTAAAACCACTTAACTTTATTCCGACATCATTCTAGCATTCATTAATTTTGCAGTATTTCTGTAAATAGTCTTTAAATTTCTTCCAATCTTCTTCCACCAACTCTTCTCCCTGGTCTCGGATTCTGCCAGTCATTTCCGCCAGTTCCATGTAATCCATCACCTTCATCTGCCATTCTTCCAAAGTGGGTAGATCTTGTGTCTTCCAGTACTTTGCAATAAGTATTCTTGCTGCTGTTGTAGCATACATAAAGAAAGTTCTATCCTTCTTTGGCACCAATTGGCCAACTATGCCCAGGAGAAAGGCCTCTGGTTTCTTCAGAAAGGTATATTTAAATACCTTTTTCATTTCATTATAGATCATCTCCCAGAAAGCCTTAATCCTTGGGCACGTCCACCAAAGGTGAAAGAATGTACCTTCAGTTTCTTTACATTTCCAACATTTATTATCGGGCAAATGATAGATTTTTGCAAGCTTAACTGGTGTCATGTAGCACCTGTATATCATTTTCATAATATTCTCTCTTAGGGCATTACATGCCGTAAACTTCATACCTGTGGTCCATAACTGTTCCCAGTCAGCCATCATTATGTTATGTCCAACATCTTGTGCCCATTTAATCATAGCAGATTTCACCGTTTCATCCTGAGTATTCCATTTCAACAGCAAGTTATACATCTTTGACAAAATCTTGGTTTTGGGTTCTAACAGTTCTGTTTCCAATTTTGATTTTTCCACCTGGAAGACAATTTTCTTGTCCAAATTATATAAACCACTGAGCCTCTTGGGCTTGCGGAAGGTCGGTGGTTCAAATCTGCATGACAGGATGAGCTCCTGTTGCTCTGTGCCAGCTTCTGCCAACCTAAATACTTTATTTATAAATAAATAAATGCTTAGGATTCATGTTTAAGCAAGGATTATGCAGCAGGCATCAGTCTCATGCCAACTATGCTTCTGGCTACTTCCTGTTGTGCCAGAACTGCTCCCAACCCTTAGGATGCTATACCTAGGGAATCTCTCCTAGCCCCCAAACTACACCCTGTGGCTCTCATTGTTGGATGTATTTGACCACTTTTAAGGACACAGCAGGAAACTGGAAGTGTCCGAGCAATGCCATAGCTATTGATCTTTCTGCTGAAACAGGCCCTAGAATGTGGACTTTGCTCCTGTTTCAGCCTCCCGTTGACTCCACCTTGACTATGTTCTCACCCTGATGCTTTGTATTAAATGGCCAGACAGTTAACTTTGCTTGGGTATATCCCTGCCTGCCCTGATTTATGCTCGTCCCTTTTATGACTCGCTAACATTATTAATGTGGGACGTGGGTGGCGCTGTGGGTTAAACCACAGAGCCTAGGACTTGCCGATCAGAAGGTCGGCGGTTCGAATCCCCGCAACGGGGTGAGCTCCCGTTGCTCAGTCCCTGCTCCTGGCCACCTAACAGTTCGAGAGCACGTCAAAGTGCAAGTAGATAAATAGGTACTGCTCCGCTGGGAAGGTAAACGGCATTTCCGTGCGCTGCTCTGGTTCGCCAGAAGCAGCTTAGTCCTGCTGGCCACATGACCCAGAAGCTGTACACCGGCTCCCTCAGCCAATAAAGCGAGATGAGCGCCGCAACCCCAGAGTCGGTCACAACTGGACCTAATGGTCAGGGGTCCCTTTACCTTTACCTAACATTATTAACAGCAATGCAAGGATAATGCAGCATGCAAACCACAAGTCACAGGGAGCGAAAACGGCATAAAGCTCAGAGGGATGGTGAAAAGGCCTGAGCAAATCAAAAGATCTTCATCTGGTACTGAAATGACAACCACTGTAGATACCAGGCAAGTGTCTCTGAATAGATCCTTCCACAGTCAGGGACCCAACAATGAAAAGGCCCTCTCTTCCCTACTGGTGTACCAGCCTCTCACCCATTCATAGACTCATAAAGCTGTAGAGTTGGGAGAGACCCCGAGGGTCATCTAATCCAACCCCCTGCAATGCAGGAATCTCAGCTAAAGCATCCATGACAGGTGGCCATCCAACCTCTGCTTCAAAAGCTCCAAGGAAGGAGAGTCTGTTTAAATTAACAAGCAGTTGTTGGTGAGTTCAGGATCTGCAGTTTTGTAGTTTGTGTAAACAATGAGGAGGATAGTAGATTGGCTAATTGGCCCTTGGCATCAGCATGCCAGGGATGCTTAGGCTTGCAGGATGTGCAAGGGTGTCAAATGCGCTTCAGAGCCAAAGGAATGCACAGGGCAGATAGCGAACTCCTTATTGTTAAAGATAATGCAGCAGCTTCTACAGCTCTGTGTGCTATGCTGCAACAGGGGACCACTCCTCCACCACCAGTTTATGTCCCTTTGCCCAGCAGGGCTATGCCTGTGTGGAAGCATCCTCTGCTCATCCCTTTTCGGTCCCCTCCTGGTTCTGGGAGATGCCAGGAGTGGCAACACTGACCTGCCTCTTCCTCATCTTCTTCCCATCCATCCTGTGCTCCACCCTCCAGCTCTGACGCTTCCCCTGCCTTTGACTCTTTCCTCCAGGCCCATAATGTTCCCTACAAATCACTGTAGGGAACTAAGCTCTCATACCTGCTTAGGGCAATCCAGCTAGTAATTCCCTAATAAACTACTTCTCCAGTTCCTTGCAATCCAATTCAGCAACGGCTCAGGACCTACTTGTAGGCTTCCCATAGGTATCTGACTGGCCCCTGTGAGAGCCGGGGGCTGAATTAGATTAGCCTTTTTGGCCTGATCCAGCACAGCTCTTCTTTTGTTCAATTAAATAGAGCAAGTCACTGCTGTTGAGAGTACGTTTTAATAGGACTGAGATGACAACTCATTAAGGTTCCTTGACCTTCCCTGTGCTTAAGTAACACAACACTGCATCTATTATTAAGGGTTATATACTTAGGTTGGGTTCTTTCTGTCTAATAAGGCAACACATACATACCAGACCTTCTGACCCACTGATTTCATGAAACTCACACACCTACCATAATAATACTAACATCTCAATTTTGGCCTTGCCTGCCGAAAGTGCTTAGTCTGTGTTGTCTGGCATTCACATATCCCATTGGATTTCAAGCCAATATATGGGACACCTTATAGACCCCCTATCAAATCTTGGCTAGCATGCTGAAGGAAAGCTACTTCCAGCATAAAGGATAACAACAACGGATAAACAACACAGTTGCTAAAGTGGGAAAAGAAAACAGGACTTCAGTGCCCTTTCCCCCAGCTGTTTATCTCCTTTAGACATGTCCTTCGATGAAGTTTTTCCACTGTAGCGGATATCTTTCTATGCAGGTTGTTGGGTGTGCCAGGCCAGCACTATCTCGAAGAGTCCATGAACAGCGTGTTGAACCCTTAGTGACATCAGGGCAGCTAATAATTAAACCTGAGATTTTAAGTACTGCTGCTCAAATAAATAGCAAATACTCAAGGAAAGAATACACTTTTTACACACTAAAGTTTAGCATATATTTATCGACTGCATTTATATCCCACCTTTCCTCCAAGGATCTCAAGAAAGAATCATAGAATTGTAGAGCTGGAAGGGACCACAATGGTCATCTAGTCCACCCCCTTCAATGCTTGAATAGTTCACCCAATGCGGGGCTCGAACCCACAACCCTGAGATTATGAGTCTCATGCTCTACCAACTGAACTATCTGCTCCTCCTTGCTTTAGCCTCACAAATATCCTGTGGGGTAGGTTAGGTTGAGAGACAGTGACTAGCACAAGGTCACCCAGTGAACTTCATGCCCAAGTGAGAATTTGAACCCCGATCTGCCAGATCCTACACAACACTGGCTGCTTAATATTGTTTTTGGTCAGGTCTTTACTATTTATCTGAGTAACCATGGGCAACTTTAAGTACTACTCCAGCACATGTCTTCATAACCCTATATTCTTTTCCTTGGGTCAAAATCCTCCTACTATTTCATGGTGCACTGTGAAATCTTGGTGCACTGTGAAAACATCTTTATTTCATGAATCTTGGTGCACTGTGAAAACATCTTTATTTCAGCAAGCATTTCTGAAATGTTGATTTTATCCGGTCACGTTTAATACTCTCCTGCTTGATTTGTTTGGTATGTAATTATGGATCTTAGGTTGTTGACAATCAATTGGAGATCTATGGCAAAAGGTGGTTCATAAACATCTTAAATAAGTACAGTGGTACCTCAGGTTACAGACGCTTCAGGTTACAGACTCTGCTAAACCAGAAATAGTACCTTGGGTTAAGAACTTTGCTTCAGGATGAGAACAGAAATCGCATGGCGGCAGTGGAAGGCCCCACTAGCTGAAGTGGTACCTCAGGTTAAGAACAGTTTCAGATTAAGAACGGACCTCCAGAACGAATTAAGTTCTTAACCCGAGGTACCACTGTGAATACTACCTGCAACCACAGTAGCACAAGGCAAGGATTAAGAGATGGGTCTCTAAATGCATGTTTGGGCTTCAGGGTGGTTTCTGGGTCTAGAAAGGTGGAAGCCAACTGACCTAAAGCATTCTACTCTATTGTTGCTGGGACAGATGGTTGCTCTATCACTGACTTAGAGGTACTACGAGAAGAGATAATAATATGTGCAGAAATCCCAGTGTTTAAAAGCAACTGTGTCCCAAACTGTCATTTCCGCATATAGTCATTCAGAGGAGTGATTCAGAGAGAGAGAGAGAGAGAAATTTAGCAGAGACACAGAGGTGGTATGCATAAAGAAGAAAGTTTTAGCATTGTCCTCTCCCTGATGTTTAATTATGAGCAGGCAGTTTGCTTCTTCTTTGAACAGATCTTCAAAAAAACTGAGCCCTCCTTAACCACACCTGCAATATGAGTTCAGCCACCTCTGTCTCTAACGTCACTGTGGGTAGTAGCACAGTTTGCACTGTTAATCCTTTTCAATGTCATTAGCACACCTCTTAATAACAGGCCTCTAAAGTGAAGTATCATCCCAATCTAGCAATTGGGCATATGTTGACAGCTGCTTGCAGACACAGTAACTCACCACTGACGTTGGCGTAGTGTAGTCTTTCGGCTCCCAGTCAGGAAGTACAGTAGATACCCTGAACAGTACTGGGCCACCTCGATGTGTAGCTGATCCCGGTATTTCTAATTACACATCACTGTCTCTCATTCCCAAGGCGCCTCTCGCTGAACTTCTGCAAAGGTGACCAGAGACAAAGGGATCCTTCATCCTTACTAGTTGTGTAGAAAGTGAGATTTCAGTCCATGAGACTTTTCTCATCCTGTCATTGTGACATGTAGCTTCAGGCAAACGCCCGGAATCATTTCTGAATTTGCACGACCTTCATTAAACTTCATTTGCTCTTACAATTAATGGCAAAAACAGCAGAATGGAGAGAGATTGTTTCTGGGTGGAAAAAATAATAAGATTATCAATCAAACCTGAACTGTTACTGGGAGGGGAGGGCGGGGCACGGGATATGGAATATAGGACCTGACATCGCTCCCTTTAGAAATATAAACTCTCCAAATTTTGTGTGATATAATGTGTGCAAAAATGTGTATATTAGGAGAAAGTGTGCATAAGAATAAATAGCTTACAAGAAGGCATGGTATTAGAGAGGCTGCTTGCAGAAACATTGGCATTTTATGAGAAATGTGTGCTAGAATGCCGGTATTTTTCCTGTGGAATTAAAATAAATAAATAACAATTTATTGCAGAATAATAATAATAATAATAATAATAATAATAATAATAAATTATTTATATCCCGCTCTCCCCAGCCGAAGCCGGGCTCAGAGCGGCTAACATCAAATGTATTACACATTAACATAAAATCAGACAATCAATTAAAATACATCCTCAAATCAGATCAGGATCAGAATAAAATCCAATCAGATGGCAACCCGCAGATTAGGGTTGTGGACCTTAAATGCTCACCAGGCACAACTGTTTGTGCTGAACTTATATGGGCCTGTGAGAAAAATTGGGAGGCCACTTTCATGCAAGTTCTTATGAAAGGGGAGAGGGAGTCAGACTGAACCCCGACCAAAGGCCTGGCAGAACAGCTCCGTCTTGCAGGCCCTGCGGAAAGATGTCAAGTCCCGCAGGGCCCTGGTCTCTTGTGACAGAGTGTTCCACCAGATTGGAGCCACAGCCAAAAAAGCCCTGGCTCTGGTTGAGGCCAGCCTAACCTCTCTGTGGCCTGGGACCTTCAGGATGTTTTTATTTGAAGACCGTAAGTTCCTCTGTGGGACATACCAGGAGAGGCGGTCCCGTAGGTACGAGGGTCCTAGGCCATATAGGGCTTTAATAAGGAGAATGAAAGTTGGGGGCGGGGATGAGAAATAGAAAGAAACCAAAATTGAAAGTTTTGTCCAACACTTTGGCCTTGGCTCCCCTCCTGTTTACTCTTGCTGCCTACCTCCTGCCTGGACATAGACAGAATATGGCAGTCAGAAGCAGTGTCAGGGGAAATTGCTGAAATGTCCAGTAAAATCCAGATGTATGGCAACCCATGTAGATTTTGGTGAATTTTCTTAAAAATAGCTGAAAAACGTATTCTTATTCTTTAGATTTTGCCAAGAAAAGCTCAACAACTTTGGGCAAAACTAAAAAGACAGCAGGGAGATGGATGTGGAGCGTGCTGTGTGCGTCCTCTGAGGGCATGTTATCCCTAACCTGGAACCGCCTCAAAACAACATCTTGTTTATTAGCAAAAGCTACAAGGTGGCATTTTCGCTACTGCATTCTAGTGTGTCTCCCTTTTTAAAAATAGAACAGATTATAGACTCATTCCACAGCTGGCATCTGTTCTTCCTTTCAGATATTATGCATCCATTCTCTAATTCTCTTTTATGTGAAGCTTGCCATTCAAAGGATGTTTGGGGAACATGCAGAGATGGGGGCTTTGGCCCCTTGTGGGCTACAGATACACATTTGTACACCTGGAGCAGAGCTCACACACAAACATACACCACACACGTGTGAGGACTTTATTCAACCATTCAGTTAACACATAAAGGTCAGGGGATGGAATATTTCAGAGCCTCCAGGTGTCCCTGTTTTCCAGGGACAGTCCCAGGTTTACAGAAGCCATCTCGGTTTCAGATTTGATCCCAGAATGTCCTGCTTATCCCTAGGATGTCTCTATTTTCATCAGAGAGAAGTTGCAGGGTATAGTTAGCTGACCCTGATCCATCTGAAGGCAGCCCTGTATATATTTTATTATGTTTTTATATATGTTGGAAGCCGCCCAAAGAACTTCCTGACAGTAAGAGCTGTTTGACAGTGGAATTTGCTGCCAAGGAGTGTGGTGGAGTCTCCTTCTTTGGAGGTCTTTAAGCAGAGGCTTGACAACCATATGTCAGGAGTGCTCTGATGGTGTTTCCTGCTTGGCAGGGGGTTGGACTCGATGGCCCTTGTGGTCTCTTCCAACTCTATGATTCTATGATTCTATGACTGGGACAACTCAGTCAGATGGGTGGGGTATACAGTGGTATCTTGGTTCTCAAACACCTTGGTACTCAAACGCCTTGGTTCCCAAACGCCGAAAACCCAGAAGTACGGTAAGTATTCTGGTTTTCGAATGTTTTTCAGAAGCCAAACGTCCGATGTTGGCTATTGTTTCCAGGGTGTCTGCACCAATCAGAAGCTGTGCCTTGGTTTTCAAACATTTCGTAAGTCAAACAGACTTCCGGAATGGATTGAGTTTGGCACTTTTGTTTTTGCTATTTATTTTGCGTTTTTGTTTTTGAGGCTTTTTCGGTTAATTTGTTTTTGTGACTGTGTGGAACCCACTTCAGCTACTGACTGGTTGATTGTGTGACTGTGGAAATGGATAAAAGCCCCTCATCCAAACAAGGGCTTTCAACAGTGCAGGTAAGGGGATTTTTTTTTTTTAAATCATCTACAATACTGTCTTATTTGTTTTATAGTACAGTACATTGATTATTGCTTTCTTTTCATGGATCAATGGTCTCATTAGATAGTAAAATTCATGTTAAATGGCTGTTTTAGGGGTTGTTTTTAAAAGTCTGGAATGGATTAATCCGTTTTGCATTAGTTTCTATGGGAAATTGCACCTTGGCTTGGAACGCTTTGGTTTTGGAATGGACCTCCAGAACGGATTAAGTTTGAGAACCAGAATGCCCCTATTATCATCAGAAAAATGTTGGAGGAGGTTTGATATTTTCATCACTCCAATAATGAGCAGTGAGTACCAACAGGATGGCAGCCAGAAGAGGGCTGGTGGGGAACAAGAAGGAAGGAACCCTGAAGTCTGCAGAAGTACAAAACATTTTTTAAAAAACACAGTAACTACTAAGGAGGCACAACGCTCCAGAAACAGTGCAGTGAAAACCGGGTGTGCTCAGTAGCCATGGAATGTTGAATCACTTGGGAAAGAAACCCAGAGCTGGATGGAATGGAGTATCTCAGGGAGGTCATGGCTGGCTGGAAACCTGAGCAGGAGCACTGCTGCCTGGAGAAAAAAATAGTTCCGCATTTGTACGTAAACACCTGTGTGCTGTAATAGCAGTTTTGAGAAAGCATGGAGAGAGAAATATTTCAAACAAATAAATATTATATAACACACATAATTTGGGTGGAGCATGTAAATTACATGAAATGAGGCAGCGTTCTGGTCAGCACCACTTCAGTCTGCACATTGTGGCTGAAGTCGCAGCAACCGTGGTCAATAAATTACC